GTCAAATTTTCTGTCTTGTTAATTACTGTTTATAGCATTGGTCACTGTTGAAGTACACATATACACATACACTGACACACGAAACATTTATATTTACACGTAACATTGAAAAATTATACTTTTTGGCCGGCCTAAACAAAAGTGATAACATCATTGTGCAGACCGGTACACTGACTGACTGATTCATGTTAGCCGATACCCTGGGATACGTTGACCTTGGCCTTGGGGGAGGGGGGAGATCAGCTGTTTGTCACTATTATAGTACAACTATTATAGTTATCACTATAATAGTGACAAACAGCTGATCTCCCCCCTCCCCCAAGGCCAAGGTCAACGTCTCCAGGGTATCGGCTAACATGAATCAGTCAGTCAGTGTACCGGTCCGCACAATTATGTTATCACTTTTGTTTAGGCCGGCCAAAAAGTATAATTTTTCAATGTTACGTGTAAATATAAATGTTTCGTGTGTCAGTGTATGTGTATATGTGTACTTCAACAGTGACCAATGCTATAAACAGTAATTAACAAGACAGAAAATTTGACAATGGGGCTGTTGGCCCCGAAACTATAGTCATTATAAAAGACTACTTGGATTGAGGACGTATACAAGGTATTTAACCTATTATTATTATTATTTAAAGATGAGATCTCTGGCAGCGTTTTCTGAGTCCGGAGAGTGAAAATACCAGGTGCTGCAGATTTATTACTACCTTGCTAAGATTAATCTCTCTACTTACCTATGTAATTACCAAGTATCTACGACTTGGCTAACAAGTCTACTCAACCTACTATTTACGAGTTATTTTCCTCTCAAGTATTATTTGGTATATATTAGATTACTTAATATGTTTTAAACACCTGCAACATTACTTCTAACCTGATACTAAATGGTTACTTATATTTATATACTAGCTGTTGTACCCGTGCTTTGCAACGGGAAGAGGACACAAAATAGAAAAATTTTTATCTTTACATCTGTTGCATATATAATATAGTTACACATCCACCAACGCTTTTAGAAACAAAATTCAACTTTTATGGCCTTAATAGAAACGTTTACGGTATGACTTTTAAATCTGGTAAGTAGTGGATACCACCATTTTGGGTTTGATTAATTTTAAATCTTGTGTAGGCTGATATGAGAAAAACTGACCAAATCTTTGAATAAAACTTTCACATACACGATTTACTTTCATCTCCCTTAGCTACATATCTTTTTTCTTTATTTTTGACATTTTCAATTTCAATTTTGAAGTTGCAAAAATACTAATTTTAAAATTTAAATGAACATTTTTTTTAATTTCACTCTTTTGCATATAAAATCACAAATCTCCAGTTTCTTCACTGACAATAAATTATTAGCAAAACTAAGTCAGCTGTTATAATCTTTAGAAATATTGTTGTGCCTTATTAATAGTCTTTTGAAATATTAAAGAAACTATATTTGTACTATAAAAAATGTCAAACAAATAATTTACCATTACCGACAGCAGATAAAACGAATATGATTATCAAAGCATCAAGGACCAAGGACAAAAAAATATAATAGCAAATACAGTATATGTTTCATTGCATCTCTGATTCTACCCTACAAAAATATCAACAAACAACTTAATATCATACCAGTTCTTTTAATCAGTTCCATCGTCTATTGCCTTTACATTTTCACACTTACCATTAAGTAAACATAGTAACAGACATTTCATTGATTTTAGAAACAAAAGAACACTGTGTACTTATAAATGACTAATTTTATATATATGTATGACCATTGATTAATCTTTATATTTCTGTTGTATGATTTATTTGTGAAGATTAATTATCACATGTTTTAATATTGTAAAATGAGTACATAAATAGTTATTGCATGTTGTACTGAAATTGACTATTCTTTATTTGACTTTGATAATTGACAATTTAATAGTACTGCTTAGTTTTATTATATTATCCTTGATTTATTTTAATCAGTGATGTGACAAAACACAAATAAAAATTTATCAAATAAAGTTAACGTACACTGAAAGCTATGTTAAGATAAAGTAAGAGTATTTAAATCGACCATATTGTAAGGAAGGGGATTAACCCCGTACCCACGGTGATCATCTATGCAGACACTCTGTTCACATTACACTTAGTCGACCAGTTGGTGTGAACAGTCCAAGTCCAAGTGTATATGATTGTGGCGACTAGCGCCACGTCTGGGGGAAGTGCCTGCTCGCTGGGAGCATATACTTCCGGTCTGCTGTGGGTCCAAGCCCTGGTAGCTCAGCTACCTGTAGACGTCAACGTCGTTCTGGGAGTTAGTCGTCGATCCGGGGGCGAAGCTGGGGAACATCCTCAGCGACCAGGTCCCTGATGTGTTCCCACGGAGAAACATCCGCCGTCTCTTCAAGTCTCGCTCGAAGGCCGTCGACGAAGTCTCGGAGAGTTGTCACTGCCGTGGAGTCCCTGATGACGGAGTTCCTCACGTACCAGGGTGAATCTGTCGCCTGCCGAAGAGCCTTGCTCTGGACGACGAGCAGCCTCCGTCTAGCGGTTCTGCAGGTGAGGTGGTACCATGCAGGGGCTGCGTACGTGAGGACAGGCCGAAGCAGGGCCGTGTAGAGTCGGACTCTTGCAGCCGTTGACAACTTCCGTGACCTGAGCAGCGGGCGGATGGCGCCAAGACCTTTCCTGGCGAGGTCGCAGACCCTCTCGACGTGGGGAGTCAGGGTGAGTCGCTGATCCAGCAGGACGCCGAGGTACTTCACCCGGCGCTTCCATGGGATGTCGGCCCCGTCTAGGTGGAGGTGTTGACCATCGTCCTGCCTCCTCGACCTCGTGAAGGAGATGGCCTCACTCTTGTCAGCGTTGACTTTGACTCGCCACTTCGTCAGCCACGGCAGCAACAGGTCCAGCTGTCGCTGGACATACACCCTGGACATCCTCAGGTTGGCGGAGGTGGCAGTGAAGAGCGCATCATCTGCGTAGAGCGATAGCTGCACTCTTGGCGCCAGGGGTATGTCATTGGTGTACCACAAGTAGAGTATCGGCCCGAGAACCGACCCCTGTGGCACACCCGAAGAGACTGGCCGTGGTGTGGAGGTCGCCCGTCCAACGGAGACCCTGAAGCGGCGAGCGGTCAGGTAGCTCTTGATGAGCCTGTAGATCGAGCCGGGTAGAGGGGAGGACGCCAGCTTGTAGAGAAGCCCCTCGTGCCAGACCCGGTCGAAGGCTTTGCTCACGTCGATCAGGACTGAGGTCGAGTGGTGCTTCCGTTCCATCGCTCCAGCGCTGGTGTTGAGGACCCGCCGCAGCTGGAGGGTGGTGGAGTGGCCCCGCCTGAAGCCGTACTGCTCAGTCCTGATCGAAGAGAAGAACTCCCCGGGGAATCTCGCCAGGATGATCCGCTCCAGCATCTTGGAGAGCACAGGCAGGAGGGAGATCGGCCTGTGGTTCTCGGGGAAGATGTGGTCCTTGTCGGGCTTGGGGATGAGGATGACGTTCGCCAGCTTCCAGGTGTCAGGGAAGTGGGTCAGCCTCACGCAGGAGTTGAAGAGGCAGGTGATCACGACAATCACCCAAGCCGGCAGGTTCTTCAGTGCTGGAGTCCCGAGGGAGTCCGGTCCAGGGGCCTTCTTCGGACGGAGTCGAGCGACGTGGCCCTTTACCTCGCTGACGGTCACGTGGGGGATGTCTTCCTCGTCGGAGTCCGGCTCGTAGGTCTCTACGAAGTCGTCCACAACCTCGCAGAAGTCCTCGTCGTAGACGTCTGGGTGTGGGGAAAATTGGTCTTCCAGCGAGTCTGCGAAGGTCTCTGCACGGTCTTCGGGCGAGTAGACGAGCCCGCGTCCCCCATGCAGCGGCCTGTTGTGGGTCTTCGTGCCGCGCAGAGCCTTGGCGATCTTCCAGATGCCGTCATTGGTGTCTGCCTGGCCCTCGACGAAGTCCTCCCACTCCTGGGACCGATGCTCAGCCAGCAGTCGGGAGCACCTCCTAGCCTGCCGGTTGAAGTCCGCCTTCGCTCGAGGGCAGCGGGACTGTTGGTACGCCCTCCTCAGGCGACGTCGCAGGGCGATCTCCTCCCGCAGCCCCTGGGGAAGTGGCGGGGGGGCCCTCGGGTCAACGTCAGAGCTGGCGGCAACCACAGCGTCCTGCAGCAGCGTTGTCAGGCCCAGGACTTGCTGGTCGAGCTCCTCCGTGGTCGCAGGTGGCGGGGGAGGCGGCTGAGGGGCGTTGGCCAGGAGGTTGGCGAACTTCACCCAGTTCACTCTCTTCCTGCGGACTGGAGGGCGGTCGGGGACTCCTCCCTGCGGCAGGTCGAAGATCACCGGGACGTGGTCAGAAGAGAGGTCGGAGACGACGAAGACTTCAATCGGGCCATCGAACGAGCCAGCCAGTCCGATGTCCAGGATGTCGGGCGGGTGTCCAGCACGGGAGTAGTGTGTGGGGTCGGCCGGGGCAACCACGTTGATGTGAGGGTGGGTGGTGAGGTAGCGCCTGAGAGCAGCTCCAGCGAAGTTTCCTCTCCTGCAACCCCAGTCCAGGTGTTTGGCATTGAGGTCGCCTGCCAGAAGCGCCGGGGTGTCGGGGGGCAGCAGCAAGTCCAGGAGTCCGGGATCAAGGCGTCTCCCTGGGGGGTTGTAGGCAGAGGAGATTTCCAGCTCCGCACCGTCATGCTGGAGGGCGATGGTCGTCACCTCGACGCCAGGCGGGAGGTTCCTGACGATCGGTCTGTGGGTGACCCGACGATGAACCAGCACCGCCGAGCCACCACTGGGATGTCGTTGCAGAGGCCTGTCTGTCCGGTGAGTGTAGTAGTTTCGGACGTTGAACGCGTCCCCACCGCGCAGATGCGTCTCCTGGATGAGGGCAACGTCAACGTCCATGTCAGTGAGGAGGTGTGTCAGCTCGTAGCGTCTGTCAGCGAGCCCGTCGGCGTTCCACGAGAGGATGCGAAGTCTACGCATGATGTTGAGTCAACTGGTCAACAAGTCGCTCGACGACGACCAACATGCTCCTCAGCGTGGAGATGAGTTGAGCCAGCTCAGACTGCTGCGACGGGCTCTTGGACGACTGAGCCGGGGTTGAGGCCGGCTCGATGGGCTGGGCAGAGGGGCTGGGCTGCCGGGCAGGGCTGCTGGGCTCGGGGCTGGGCTGCTGGGCTGCGGGGCTGGGCTGCTGGGCTGCCGGGCAGGGCCGCTGGGCTGACGAGGAGGGACTTCCAGGCGAGGGCGGGGAGTTCGCCTCACTCGAGGGTTCGGGGTCTCAGCCGGGGTGGCGGGCCGCTCCACAGGAGGGGTGGGTGTTCGGGGCCTCGGGCCGGAAGCTCTGCCGCGGTTGTCCGGGTTCCGAGGAGCTCGACGACGTCTTCTCCGCTGAGTCCGGAAGCCCTCGTCATCGACCTCGGGAGCCCCAGGCGCCTCTTCGTCCACAGGGCCAGGTCTCGGAGCCGGCGGGTCGACCCGGCGCGGTTGACGGCCCGACGGTGCCGTGGACGATTTCGCCGCTGCCGGTGTGAACAGAGTTGAACAGTAGCATGAGCATCGATTTACAAATTCCTTTCCCAGCTGACGTGAGCTAGGCGATGACCGGTAGAGCTGACTTCCAAGAAACATCGTTAAATTATAAGCCACACACCCTATCGGTAATCAGCCAATGAGAAGGGCTAATGAAGAAGATGGAGGGGTGAGGAGTCTTGGAGCTGGAGGACCTGGAGAGGACAATCGAGGAGATCACCACGGGCCACGGGACCAAGAAGATCCAGGAGTTTCGGAGTGCGTGTATCGGTGCGTGTGCTTCTGGGACAATAAACAGTATGTAAAAAGAATAAAATATATATACTTATAATAAAGTATAACTAAATAGTCATAAGTCATACCGTATAAGTATAACTAAAGTTTTGTAAAACAAACAAGTCATGTAATTTGTCAGTAGATTATTCTTTTAAATTTTCAATTGATTATCTTTTCTTGTACATTTAACGTTGTAAATTAATTTATCTTACTATTGTTGATTTTTGCCTTTTGAAAGTTTTCTTTTGCTGTTGTTCACTTTGTAACTTTTGTTGTTTTTTTATATTTAAATTTTTGTTCATTACACGTTGAGTAACACCCTTAAGCAGTCTTATGTATCATTAACCTAACACCTCTTCACTAAGCTAAGCGAGTGAATCATTTTAGGAAACTTAAATTTAAAGTGAGGCATGGGACTCGCAATATACAATTTAGTTATTGATGAAATTCCTTAGTTTAATTTAAGCATAGGTTTAGCAAAACACAATAACTAAATTTACCTAAATATACATATAAAAACAATGTGATGTGAAAGTTATGTTAAGTTAATCTAACACATGTTAAGCAGTTCGAATTTATTTAAAGTATACTCCAAATTCATATAAAAAATCTATACATTGTAATTTTCTTATGGTTTCCATAAAAATATAACAATAAAATTATTTTCATAACACTTAAATCACCTTAAAAATTGAAAGTATAGCCTGAGTTGATGCAGCAATGTTTTTAGAATATTTTTCTATAATCATTGACATGTTTATTGAATAAATGATCTTTGATAAATTTTTAGATTAAATAAACCAACCAACTAATTGTATGAAATATTATATTAAATTTCATTGGATCAGCTGTCTTAAAATGTGAAATATGCAATTTGGCAGTTCTTCTTGTTTACATTGAAATGTCAAAGCAAATGTAAACATTGTGAGCATTCTCATTGCAGCCATGGAGACCAATCAATATTTACTTTTAAAATCCTCACCTCGGAACTTTTAAAGCCAAAGAGGCAAAGCCCACGTTCAGTATCGAAGTGTAAATAGTCATATAATGGTCCTTGGTGTGGTAACTATATATTTGTAAAATTTAAGCCCAGTTGGTTCAGTAGTTTTTCCACCTATTAGTAATACACATAGAGACAGACACCATTAGATTTTTATATAATAGTATAGATTATATTAGTATGTTAGCAAATTTACCATACAGGAAATAAGCTATTGGCGTGGGTCTCATGGTAAGACCCTAGGACCAATAATAGTTTTTCGTTTAGAGATACACAGAGGCCAAAAACACCATACTTTAATGTATATATTCATTAATTGGGTATGATTATGTACTCAATACACTTACGATGTGTATTATGTAAATGGATTATTAAGTATGTGTGGATTATGTAAATTATTGTGTGTATGGGTTATGTATGTACAATGGCTCATATAACATAAAAAGCATACGATTTTGATGATGTTTGGTATAAACATATGAATATAAATTTATTCGAACGAGTTCGCAAACCTGCTTGATTGGACTATGGGAACGGTGTCTTATGGTGAGTTTTATGCAGTGAAAATGGGGGTTCCCATTTTTGACCCTCAAAACAAAAAAATGTGATATTTCTTTATGAAGTAAGTTAGTAAGGACAATAAATAACAAAAGAATGTAGAGCAACATTTTAACTTTACTCTTCAATGAAGCTAAAATTGTTTCCAAAACATCACAATTACAAAATATGACAATAGGCTACAACACAATTGAGTCACTGACAAAGTCTAAACGGTACGACAAATAAACAATGTTCGTCAAATTGGCAAAAGTTAAATTGGATCGGTTCTCTAGAACAAGTTGTAATTTTTTTTTTTTTAAGATAAATTAAATCACAAGTATTCACGACAACTACAAAGTTAGGTACAAGTTTTACGAAATGAGAAAAATAACAAGTTTTACGATAAGACAAAAATACAAGTTTTACGATAAGACAAATTGCAAATTCAATAAATTTGCGAGATTTAAATGGATAGAGAACAAAATTTCAAATTCTTACGATATACCAAAATCTAGAGTTTACGATATGACAAAATGACAAATTTTACTATATTACAAAAATGACAAGGAGATGAATATATGACAAGTCAGTTAGGTGGCCACCCCTAACAACACAAATACATTTCGAACAATTCTGAACAACAAATAAATATCATGAATGAATAAATCTTAAACGCTAATCGACATCTGGCTTAACCCGACCTAACCGCTCTTCATCTCGGTTCATGAGAATGAGTCTCTCCTGTAGGCCTAAATTTGAATGCATTGAAGTTCCGCAACTTAACAGTCTAGCGGGTCTATAAGGTCTAGATCAAATGGATGCAGCCCTAGGCTACTTATATTTACCACTTATCGGTTTGTCATTGCAGTCGGCATCCACATCGTTGGGCCAAGTAGTCGGATGGCCGTAGCGGGGGGAAGGGGGGGGGGGTAGGCTCATCCAGAAGTCAGTATAGGCAGGCCCCAGATCTCGCAAGTCAGCTATGATTCACCCATGTCTGCGCCAGCACCAAAATCCTGTACAATTCCTTAATTGGTAGAAATTGTGCAACTAAAGTATGCATTCAAAAGCACAATAAGTTTAATTAATAGCAAACAAAGCCTTTAATAAATGTTTATGAATTTGGCTTGAGTGTTAATTTAGTATTCCAATTTAGTATTCACTAGGCTCGGCACAACGGCCCACTTGACCTAACCTAACCAGCAGAATTTTTAGTGTCTCTCCATCACTTCCTTCGTTCATTACTTCAAAGATTCACTTCACTAATATAGGCCTACAGACAATAGGCTACCAGAGTACTTTAGATAGTTGAGCGTTTACACAAAACAAACAGAACAATCGATAATGCTAATAATTCAATTACACTAGGCCTAAGCCTTGAAAAAAAAAGGGTTTCTCAAAAGTGAGTCTATGAATGCTGATCCTTCAGCGAATTCGTAGTTAAAATTTTTTTCTTTTCTAGACACCTTAACAGTTGATTACTACTGTTCCAAATTTGAGTAAATGACTTTACAACTAGGCTACTTACAACATATAGAGTAGGTCATCATACCTTGGAACTAACATATTAGAAACAATTAAGTGACATAAAATCCTGAATAAAATAACACAATCTAGGCCTAATTTAACACTTGAGCAAGTTAATTATATACATCGTGGACAAAGGTTTGAATAATACGTTAATCAACAGTGACTCAAATGGCAAAACTCTTGCATGTTACAACCAACTTATATCAGCATAGCTGGCTGAAACAACTTAACAAAATTGACAAAATGAGAAAGAAATCGAACTACACAAGAAATTACTTAAGTTGGGACTCTAATAATTAACACAAAATAAGTAATAACCTTCTTAAAACATAAATTTTTGGTTTCACGAACCTGTCCAAGTTTGCAAAATCACATGTGCGAAGTTTGGAACAGTTAAAGTTTTTGGGGAAAAGCTACTAATAAAACAGTTTACGAAAATCAAAACAGCCCTGAACTAAATAAAACTTTAATAATTGTGGATATCCCCAAACTCACCTCGACTTTTAATTAATCCTTTACAAATGAAAGTCCGAGGACGGAAGTTTTCCGAAGTTACTAGTAGCAATGGCGAGATGAAAAAGGAGGTCTATTTCTTCGAACGCAACATAATAACGGCTTCAACCAATCCCAGGTGGCTTGTGACGATTGAAGTTGTTTTTCTGTACCCAAACGGCAGGCAGCATAGCGCTAATGCAGCTGTGTAGACACTACTGAATTGATCAGGCTCAGTACGCAAGGGTTAAACAACTTTTGGACCGTTACAACCTTTGTACTTTTCTTGTCTATATGGATACTTATTTCACTAAATTTGACATTTTATCTCATGGTAAGCTATTAATATATCACTAAAACACACATTATTACATTTCCTGTAGCAGCGAACATTATTGCTCACTTGATATTATTAAAATATGAAATAAATCTATGAGTTTTAAGGAAATATTTAAGTAAAACTTCAATCAGACAAAAATAAATTACTTTAGTCTGGAGGTTTGCTATGGAAGGGGTATTTTTTCAAATGAATAGTATAAGATAAGTAAGTGAAAAAACTAAATTAACTCTTTTTAAGCAAAATAAAAAAAAAATCTAAGTCAGTCACCTGGGTCGGTAAATATATCTTTTAATTTTATTCTTATGTGGCCAAAATCCACTAGATATAAACAAAACTATAATGTAACGCAATTAAAAGTTTAAATGATAAAGGAGAAGCAATTTACTCTGAGCTATAATTATATGATGGATTACATTATATTATCATGGTTCTGTATAAAATAGAGAATCAGCTTGGATATTACATCCTTTAATATTGCTTTTGGAAGTCGCGAGAGTTATTGCCAATAAAACAAAATCCTCCCTTCCCTATAAATTTCCTTCCTCTTTGATTATTGGTGGATGAACTTGATGAACTAGAAATCGTAAATTCTCTTCCCGCTGTTACAGCAATTATTTCAACCAATAAATTCTGTCATATCTTTTTGACGTACGTTAAAAATTAATAATAAATCTTATTTTTATCAAATGCATATTTATGATTGGATAACTTACACTATGCATAAAGAGCATTTAATACATTATCTACCAACCACACTATTAGTCCGTAATAGACAGAGGAGTGAGACATTTTGCTGTGAACGTGTTTAATGATACTTACAACTCTTTAAGAAGAACTGGTAATATTGGAATGAATGCAATTTAAAAAAAAGGCATCACAAATTTTTCAGGAATTTGTCATTTTATGAGGCCTTTCGACAGCTATGCTGGCATCATCAGACACATCACAAAACTAAAGTTAACAAGGTTAAAGTTTTTTGATGTGTCTGATGATGCCAGCAAAGCGGGCGAAAGGTCTCATCAAATAAAATTTCCTAAAATATTGGCGATACTTTATTATAAAGAAAAACGTGTAAACTCTCACTTTGTAATAGTCTTATATTGTAATAAGCGATTATTATTATATTCTCATATGAATAACACGTATTTATGAGTAGGAATTAATGATGAAGTAAAAAGACCATTTTTTGTTAACACCGGTTTTGTTAACAGAACGATATTTCTGAAAAGAAAAATTTCAACTGCAAACAAATTCTAAATAAATAGTTATTTATTTTCTGCAAGACGATGCATATTGTTTTGAATTAACTAAGTAGTTGAATACATTTGTCAAACCACAAAAAAGTTTAATTACATTATTAAAACTCATACGGATAACGTTTTCATTTATTCTCTGTAAGCTTATTAGAAATGCATACATTATATAGTGATTAAAGTAGTTGAGTTTATTATAGGCCATATTTATTTCATAAATAAATATTTAGAATCTTTTTTTCACTTCAGATAAAAAAATATTTATGTGTTCTTAACTGGAAAACTACATTCTGTGTTTACAAATTCACTGTCGTACAGCATTTCCATTTTTCTATCCACCAAACCTCATTCTAATAGAAAATGTTTTGAGCTTTGACCTACTCAACTGCTGGAGTGAATAATTCAATTATCTTTGCCAAATGAACAGGTATGATACATTACAAATTATTTACTCTGTTCCGTTCAAACTATGTATACAATTTATATAGATCAATATCAAAGAATCTATTGTTGGTAGGATACGATAATGAGTCATGCTTATGCTATTTATTAAATCCGTGTACCATTTACATAATTATTTCAAATCAGTTGAGATATACAACATTTAATGATTTGCTTGATATTTGTTTACGGAACACAGTTTATATGAATTTATTTATGAGTAAATTATAAATTTATATTTTTTTTACTTGACCATTAAAAAGATTAGTTCAACTATGAAGAGGTTAAACTGGTTTCATATAAAAATTATAATTATTTTACTATATTCCAATGTTTCTTTTATATATATTTGGACACCGAAATGAATTGTGAAATCAAATTAACTGGTCTTTTAATCGATGTTTTAATCAAGAATATTACTCAGAGATTATTTGATGAAAGGATGAAGCACGGAGAAATAATATAGCTTTATTCAGGTTTGTCTATCTTCCAGCTATATTAAGAAATACCCTTTATCTATTTCATTTATCTTAATTAAAGATATTAATTTTCTTGTAACAAATGGTAGGTGTAGCGTAAACAACTGTGGAAATAATAGAAATATTAATGAGGAACGTAAATAACTTTCTTTATATTCATATGTTTAACTTAAAATTTGTTAATGTATTGTAGTTCAAAACCTGAAAAATAGTTTTCCGTTTTAAAGCCTTAGATGCATTACACTGTTCGTTCCAACTATAATATATAAGTAAGTGGACACCAAAACTATCAAAATGTACTACATTTCTGATAAAATTTTCAAAATTTGCAATCCATCTAACGTGTCGTGAGTCGTTGGCTCGTGACTAAGTCTGTAGCGCAGCCATCCATAGCAGTGATGTCATGGTTTGCATCCAGGCATTCGCCACTAAATTTATCATACAGTTTACTCTTGTACTGTAGCGGCTTACCCATTGCTTGGCTGGTTGTGGATACCCAGACCTCCTGGGAAAATATAAATAAAACATATAACACCAATATTCTGTCAGATAGCTATTTGAAATCAGGTTTTTGAGTTAGATTTTTCAGATTTGGCTAAAAATATTAGTGTTTCTATCGCAGTAATATTCTAATGTAGTGAATTACATCTAAAATACAGCATTATACACATAGGCCTACATTTTATTTAATATACAACGCATACTAGGTAGGATGAACGATATAACATCATATGCCTATTGAAGAACAATATACATAGTTGTCTGGCATGTTGTACTTATGAAGAAAGTTCTCGTGGATTGCTCGCTGATAGATGTATGTTCTCAAAGTCAAAACCATCTTGGCATTGCATACAAATCCAATTTAGTGATTTTTTATTGTGTTTTTAAGTACACGTATTATAAAATTCGAATAAATTAAACGAAAAATCTAGTTTTTTCCTGCAATAGGCGTAAAAACATTTCCATGTTTCCTTACTAAGAGTAAAAAAAAAACTAAATTCACCATTATATAAGGTTAAATTGAGCAAAGCTAGTTATAAAAGAACGATGAAAAGAAGTCTTTAATATGCTTGCAACGAATCCTAATGAACCACCGGATTGATGATTTCGCTGGATTTATAAACGCTGATTTGACGAAAAGTAATTGTTTGAATAGAGGGATTTCTGGTGCACCATAATGAGAAATATCTCTACTTTGCTTGATTTATCGTTAGTTAAGTTTCATTTAACTATGCAAACCAGAGATTGTTTATTCTATTGAAATAAGTTATGTCCTTCGTAATTTACGTTTCCTTATAGATTTAGAATGTTTAAACTAGCCTAATGTTTTATATCCAGATTTAAGTGTCATTAAAATTTAGCAAGAAGTAAAATGATGCGAATTGACTAAAATTAAAGAGTTTGATCCTAAAACAGCTGTAGAAAATTAAATCATCAAAAATGCCAACAAAAATGTAATATAACGTAAAATATTTGTATGCATTGAAGATTGACAACATTCCTCTTAGATTTTTTGCCAATCCATGGTGAGCCATTCACAGAAAACAATTTTTATAACAAGTTTACATAATGTGTTTACGTATAATTAAATTCTCCGGCTTACTGTCAGGTTTGCGAAAAGGAGCGGAAATATTATAAGTACTGTAATAATTTAGATACAGCCAAGTGATTTAGAATGTGAAGGGAGGACTTGAAATTAGATCAATTATTGTATAAAAAATTCATTGTATTACATTTCACCATCAAATCTATTATAACACACTTTTTCTAAGTGTAAAACCATTGGATACTGTAAAATTCTTTTGGCCACAGCGAATATAAACAATTCAGCTCATCAAAATCATATTAATGTTGTCAGAGAATAATAAAATTTTATAAATGAATAGTTGTTCAATAAAATGGTCATTATAAACAATAGAGATGAATAACACTGGTACAGTTTAAACATGTCAATTATGTTTAATACGTAAATAGCATATGATTCTTTTGTTTCCATTAGGCAAGTAATAACAACATCATCAGCCAGATCTTATCAGAGATCACTCCATTAGATATCAACTAAGGCTCCAACTACACTATAATGACTTGTGTTTAGTCTGTTAAGCTATGATTGTTGCGTGTTGTGTTTGTGTTGTGTTTTTTCATGTAGCCGAGATGGCAATAACTACAAACGGTACTCGAGCAGCGCCATCTCTGGAATTTCTAATCGTGGTAAGTCCTCTAGTCAAGAACTTGAACATGTTGAAGTATGTGTTGAGCAAGCAAGCTGGTTTAGTAGTAGAGCGCGGGACTTCGGTCCCTGAGGTTTCATGTTCAAATCCCGTCAAATCACCAATGAACTTTTAATATACTGGTATTGTTTATAATAGATCAGCAAGCACGGGGCGCGCACTCCAACGCACACCTATCCTACAGACCCGTACAGGAACATCTCCATGTGGCCGGACGGCAAAGGGCAGATTACTAGGGTGAGGTTTTCCACATTTAGTTTTGGTATTTAAATATATTGAACCATCAAAACTTGTGTGATTAGAAACTACAGTATATTTGTTGTTAATTACTTAAAAATTGTAATATCAGTTAAATACTGTAAGAACATAGGTTTGAGTTCTTCGAAAACCCGAATATCTAATTAAACAGTTTCTTAAATTTCCTTTGAAAACTGTGCATATCTATAACACTTTATATTTCATCATAACGCTTACAATTATTTTGAGTAGTACCGATTCAAGGACATAATATTAACCATAGGTACCAAATTGTGGTTTGATCTACAAAGAAGGCATTAACAAGTTATGTGAATATCTGTTTATGCTAATATTTTAAACACCAATTGTCTTCTGGTTTTACTCTAGAAGGATGCTATTTTCTGTTGAACATGCACTCGAAAAAAGACGAGTAATCATAAAAATCTGCAGATTTTGCAAGAACGAACCAATAATATTACAATGCAAAGAAGCAGAAGATTTTGGCAGAATATTGCACTCATACAACGTAATTTACTGAGTACAATTTAGGGGATTAACATAAGCAAGTAGTAAGGCTAAATTACTTTCAATATTTATTTTATTGGTATCATGGAGGCTATATTATAATAAGTTGTACAAGGGTTGTACTCATCGGTACACTAATTTTTGTTTTTGCTAGCAGAAAATCATTTGTAATAAAACCTTATTTAAAGCTAGGTTAATATGTTAAAATAATTAAAAGTATGACAAACTTAGTATATACGATGTGACATGTTGTCTGACTTTTCTACTTGTTGTTCTGTAAGGTAGGTAAGCAACAGATGTACAGGGTGGGTCGAAAACTCCGTCACTTGTATAACGGATACCTGAGCCATATGTACCACGGCTCCCAGCTAATGGCTCAAGCTACGTTGGTGGACAGGTAATATCAACTGTATCTGTGCTAATCTATAGATTATATCCTTATTTGACAACAATCTTAATGAAATTTACCACAACCTGTACATCCATGCACATTTATCCAAAGAATCAAACCTATACCTCTAAATACAAATACCTGGAAGGTTTCAGATTTTTATCTGTTTTAAATAAACAATAGTGCAGCTTTTTGCCTTTTGAGAAAAACTCCTTGATATGTCATATAGTAGCACCGATTTTCTCCACTCGTATGCCAGTCTCATTTCGTTAAAGGACAAACTTAACCCCAAAGAAAAAGTGGTCCATAGATAAGTTTCATGTATGACCAGGACACTGAGCACTAAGGTACCAATACTCTCCAAATAACCAACCATCGATTAATACAATTGTCGTAAGAGACCTTTGATATTACTGTGGTTATAAAAGCTTTATTAAACTAATAGTCAATACGTATTCAGTGCTTATTTAAGGCTTAACATCTGAACCATGACTACAAAATAATATCGGGGTGTTTTATGTACAGTAATCCTCACTTTACTTTTTATTAAAAATAGGTTAGCAGCCTCTTTTAACCTCGTTCTGGTCCGTCCATATAGGCCTCAGACCTATGTTTGAAACATATCCAGCAAAGAAAAGGGTGAGCCAGTGCAGTACAATGGTGAAGTGTACTTATAAAAAGTATTGGCGAATCGACTCGAGGTTCGAGGCACTAGCGACTCAGCTAAATCCTATCACCGATTATGTACTCTAATTATTTCTGAATAACATCTTCTTGCTTCATTTCTTAAACTATCTTTAAACCAGTGTACATTGCAAAAAAATAGTGTCAACATATTTAAGTACCATGAAAATATTATGTTAAACATGTTATAATAAAATATTTTATATAAAAATACTTTTATAAAACGTTGATAAATTACTTTATACAGTAATAAAAAGGGTTTCACCACACTAAAGGTCGATTCACACACATCAGTTACGGAACGTCACAGTCCAGTCACTTCAGGCACGTCACAGTTAACAAAAATATTCTTTAATGGATTTTCTATCTACACTTATCCGTTGCAGTCCCGTCAGTCGCTCTACCGGCATCCGTCAGTTACTTTCAGATTTCTTTCCACCGATACTTTTGGATTGTTCGGACGACTGACGGACCGGTTTAAGGTTAGAAAATAGTGTTATTGTTGTTTAAATGGTTGTGTTTATATTTTGAGTACTGTTTGTAACAATCAACAATATGGACAATGCAAACTTGATAGAATATAGGTTTATTATTTAAAACTTTTGACTGTAAATTACTGTGAATTTTAGAGACGGAAGACTGACTGAAACCAACTGACGGACTATTGACTGAGAAATTGCGCATGCAACTGAGACTGAACTGTTACTGGACTGTAACGGAACTGTGACTGAACTGATATGTGTGAATCGACCTTAAGAGGTTTTAAGCCGTTTTACAAACGTTTATTGATGGCCGAAAGCTACGTATTGCTGTCTATGCTAGATGTCATCGTCACTTGCGGACCGAGGAGGTTTTTACATTCCTAGGGCCGTTAATCAGCTGTTCGCTTACTTTATTTAAACGTTAAGAGGGTTCCCTACCCCCACCGAAAAACGTCAGAAAACCGCTTCGCGCGGTATCATATAGCGATTCTAGTTTTAACATTTAAATTGTGAACCAAACACCATTTTGTACATAAAGAGTGGTTCTACTAAGTTTGCTTTTTAAAAAATGTCTATGCTTACGCAATCAAGGGCAACGACTTGTCAAAGTTAGTGATCTTTACAGTTAAAGTTCACTAACTTTGACAAGTCGTTGCCCTTGATTGCGTAAGCATAGACATTTTTTAAAAAGCAAACTTAGTAGAACCACTCTTTATGTACAAAATGGTGTTTGGTTCACAATTTAAATGTTAAAACTAGAATCGCTATATGATACCGCGCGAAGCGGTTTTCTGACGTTTTTAGGCGGGGGTAGGGAACCCTCTTAATGCATATCAAATACGCAATCAGTATCCATAGCATTGCAATAGACTTGTTTTGAGGTTGGCAGCACTGACTGCTAGAGTTAACAGTGGATATTTGATGATCTCGTTATATTTTAATTTTACCAGTTTTTTTTTGGAATTTCAAAGTGTTTGGACAATACACATAGTGTAAGGAACAATTGTTTTATTGTTTGGCGCCTTAGTTACGAGTTAGTCCCGTCGCAAGTGTCTTGTAAGTAGTTATATGTCCTGTTCTAACCTCAACGTCCTCAACTGACTCACCATCACATGGTTTAACTTTGGTGACAAAACCTGCAACGGAGCTTTGACGTCATCATCAGCTGGGCAAACCTGCAACTAACCCGAACGGGAACTATTAACAACTGGGGAACCTTGCTTCACTCATTCTGCAGGCGCAGAGCATCGTGTCACCGTTTCTGTCATCGTCGGGGATTTGTCTACGCCCACCAGGGTGACGATACTTACCGCACTACAGCCTTGCAACGCTTTACTGTACTTCAGGCGCTGCTGAAATGACCGTGTTCCCCTGATCCCGTCTGCTGAACGCTGAACAATATTGACTCATATTATTTTTTTGACTTGGTTTTTATAATTATTAACATTTGTTTTGATTGTGTGTAGCATATTTTATTGTTCATAACTAATTAATTGTTGTAAATGACTACTTTAATTGCTGTAAATATACTTCCATTTTATTTATAATTTTATGACAGTGTTGTTTGTTATTTTAATTGGTATATTCCAGATATAATGGTAATGACTAGAAGTCAGTATATATCTCAACCTATTGAGGATGGTATGGAGGGATTAGTCCTTCAACTTAGCAGAAAATTAAATAATTTGATCTCCAGTCATCCTGATCTAGATTTGAAAGACTTAGTTGGTACTATCGAGTTACTCATGCATAATATTGATAAACTTAATCAGGAATCAATTACTCAAAATAATGAATTAGAGGCTTCACACAGTGAAATAAGAACTCTAGTATCTAAGCTTGAGGTTGAAAAGGAGTTGCGAGCAAAAGAAATGAACAATTCATTTAAGTTGCAAGATGAAGTGTCTGAAGAGGTAACCAGTCTTGAAAGTAAAATATGTGACTTAGAAACTAGGCTTTATGATTGTAAAAGACTATTTAGGGATGCTGAAGCAGCTACTAGTTTAGCTTTAAGTAATTTAAAATTAGAGCAAATCAAAAATACAGAGTTGTCAGAACAAAATAAAACCCTGCGCAGTGATGTGTCACATGCAAACACTAAGTTAAATGTACTTAAAAGTAGAGTTTTAAGCTTGGAGCGTGAACCCAAGAAATCTTGGGATAAAGAGCTGTGGGCTGATGACTTGACTCTCAATGCTTACTTTGAAGCACTAGCAGCTTCAGTAATATGTAAGGAAAACATAATTTTTCAGGGACCAGCCCAAACACAATGGGTAAAGCTAGGAAACACAGAAAATGTAATTAGCAAAGCTGATATCCTTTCTTCACCTAAGCTAAGATTTGTATTTTTCTGTTTAAGTAATTCTGTAAGTGCAAATGAAGACTCGGGCTCTCATTGGAGCCTTTTGTTTTGCGACTTGAAGGTATCTAAAGCCTTCCACTTTGACTCGTTGGCTGGAACAAATGCGCAATCTGCAAAACTGCTTGCAAAAAAACTAAATATAAGTGAGAATTATGTCAGTGAAATTGATTGTTTTCAGCAGTCAAACTCATTTGAATGTGGGCTTAATGTGCTGGTAAATGCCAAGCAGATTTTGCAGTTCTACTGCCTGGGAAACTCAGACACTTTGTCATTTGAGGATTGGTGGGGGCTACACAAACATAATAGTGTAGTCCGCTCTTTTAGTAATACTTCACCTAATGTCCCTCTCAAAAATAAAACAACTTCTGTAGTTAAAAGCAAAAAGATCTGTAAAATAAAATCAAAACAAAGTAAAGATGACTGGACAACTGTGAAGTCTGGTTATGGTCACAGGAAAAGTCAAAGGTCTCTGGGTGCCCCTAACATTGTTTGTAGAAATAGGTTTGAAGTTCTTTCTACTAATGTAAGTGTTGATGTTGATACAAACAACAGTTTGTTTGGTGAACCTGATACAAATAGGCCTACTAGTTCAAATCATGAGACCAGACCAAGCACTAAATCCACCATTGAGAAAGACAGTTCACGAGTTAATTCTGTTAATGTTAAGGGTGCCTCAGGTGTTCGTGCCAGTAAAAATCAAAAAGTAAGTAAACCATCTGAGCAGAGTAAGTGTTCAACACCGACCAGCCCAAAGTTGAATAAACATGTTAAAACTAGTGATGAATTTTGTTTTAGAAATGTTTTGATTGTAGGTGACTCTATGATACGACATGCTTGTTCTGATTTTGTTAAGAAAGGGGCAATTGTAGAATGTCACCCAGGTGCTCGGATCCATCACTTAAAAAATGTAATGTTGAAATATGTAAATAGTGATCTAGATATAATACATATTCATGTCGGCACGAACAACCTGAGGGTGGGTTACAGGGGAGGTCCTGGCTACAACGGAGGTCACGGCAAGCGGGAGGCTCTCCACGACATGGCTGATTTGCTGTTTACTGTAAAAACAAATTTTCCAAATTCTAAAGTCTATGTAAACAGCGTAATAATTCGGTCTGATATCACATACAAAGCTCTTTATGATTTTAACACGCAACTTGACCTTATGTGCAACAATTTTAATGTCATGTACGTGGAGGCTAACTGTTGGGTTGGGCGGAGACACCTTGCTCGTGATGGGAGACACCTTAACAGGGGTGGTGTGTCGCGGCTGGTCTCCTTATTTAAAGCGGTGATTCCTGCGTCTCTCCGCATGATTGGAGGCTCGGCAGCACATGCTACCCACAAATCAGTTGATTCGGCACTGGCGTCGGGCCTGAGCATGGAGTCTCCCCTGCCTCACAGTGAGAAGCCAACTTCTCACAAGAGTCACTTCCAAGTCAGCCACACTAATTGATCACATTATCACTAATAAATCTACTCAACTGGATATGTGTGGCGTAATTGATGCGTCAAGTATTTTAGATTATAGGAAAAAGAAAATCACCGACCATAAGTTAATTTACTGTAAATTAAAATGCAAACAAGAAAAAAGTTCAGCGAAATTAATTACTTATAGAGATTTTAAACACTTTAACGATGCTATTACCAGACTGGCAAGTGTACAGTGGGAAAAAGTAAAAGACATGACTGGAGTAGATTGTATAAATGAATTTATTACAAGCAATGTGAAAGACATTTATGACGCATTAGCACCTCTAGTAACAAAACGAGTTACGAAGAGGAAATCACCTTGGAGAAATGTGGAAGTGGTCATGTTAACGAAATTAAAAAATAAACTTAGAACTAAGTATAAGAAAACTAGACAAGATAAGGATTGGACGGAGTTCAAGAAAATTAGGAATAGACTAAATGGTGTAATATGGAAGGCAAAAAAGAAATATTTTACTGATAACCTTGCAGACTGTAAAGATTCGAGAAAATTTTGGAAATGTTTAAAACAGATTGATCTAATTGGAAAAAACTGTAACACACAACTCCCAAATACTTTTAAAGTTGATGACATGAATGATTACTTTGTTAAAATGGGATGTTTCTTTGATGCAGACTCACGCTTAATTGGTTCTTATAACAAAGAAAGGAAGAAAGGAATAACTAATTCATTTAACTTTAAAAAAGTCTCAGAGAAGGATGTTAAAACGGCAATAAATGAAATAACCTCTAGAGCAGTTGGAGTTGACGACTTGAGTATTTTAATGATTAAAGCAGTTTGTCCTTACGCAATTGGTGCCTTAACTCACTTGATGAATGAATCATTAGGATCAGGCAAATTTCCTCAGGCATGGAAAACTAGTAGAGTCCACCCATTGCCAAAAAAATCTAATCCTACTGACTTCAGTGAGCTTAGACCTATATCAGTCTTGCCTGCGATATCAAAAGTACTGGAAAAATTAGCAATAAAACAAATTCTAGAACATTTAGAAAAAGAACAAATCCTTCCAAAATTACAGTCAGGGTTTAGAAGAAACCACAGTACCTGCACTGCATTAGTGAATATGTTTGCAGACTTGTTTGAGGCGAGGGACCGGGGCAGGTGTAGCTCTGTTGTGATGCTTGACTATTCACAGGCGTTTGACTCTATAAGCCACAGTTTACTTCTTGCTAAATTGGGACATCTTGGTTTTATGGATAATGCAATTGCTTGGATGCAGTCGTACTTGGAAAAAAGAGAACAGGTGACTAGAGTGGGAGCTGATGTTTCACTTCCCCTTGACAAAGTCCGGGGAGTGCCGCAGGGGAGCTGTCTGGGTCCCATTTTATTCACCCTGTACACTGCAGACATATCCAATTGCGTGCACTTCTGCAATGTGCACGCCTATGCAGATGACTGTCAGATGCATTTATCCTATGATGTCAACTCAATTGACCAAGCTGTTGCGAGAATGAACTTGGATTTGGCGAATGTCAGTGAGTGGTCCATAAAGCATGGTCTCAAGTTAAACCGAGAGAAATGCACTGTTCTTCATATTGCTCCGCCCAACTATGTTCAATTGATCATTGATGGAGACGTGCAGGTAAAACTTGATGACGTGGAGTTGAAGGTGAGCCACACTGCCAGGACTTTGGGCGTAATACTGGACAGTGGTCTTACCTTCTCTGATCATATCACCCATGTTTCCCAGCTGGCGTTGGGTAGATTGCGGGGTCTGTACAAATGCCGAACCATCCTACCTGAGTCAGCCAAGATTCAGCTGATTCAATCAATTGTCTTGTCAGTGCTCTACTACTGTTTTCCTGCATATGGCAACAGCATCACAAATGAGGGCATGGAAAGGATTCAAAAACTTCAGAACACCGCAGTAAGATTTATATATGGTCTGCGGAAAAGCGATCATATATCTGAATTTGAAAAAACTGCCGGTCTTTTGCCCTCAGCAGCCGTATGCAGGATGCAAACCTGCACTCTGGTTCATCGGGTACTGGTCAAAAAAGAACCAGCTTACCTGATGGAAAGACTGGTCTCCCGCGATCGGGTGTCTCGGTGCATACTCGACAGGAAAAGCTGTTTCACTTCCCGAGAGTGAGACTGGAGATTGGCAGGAGAGGCTTTTCATACTTTGGGTCAAAGCTGTATAATGACCTCCCCTGTGGTCTTAAATTGCTGGGTGTTCCAGCTTTTAGAAATAAGTTAAAAGAAATGTATAGAAAGGACCTCAAATTTTGTAAATAGATTATGTACTTTTTGTTATTAGTTTTATTTAGTATTAGTAATTAAATTGACAAGAGTTATCCTGTAAAGCAGTATGTACTGAGGAACGCTTGCTAAATAAAGGCATTTTTATTTATTTATTATTTATTTATTTTATTGTCACCGCTGACTAGCAATTATTCATTATTATTTTTGCTGATTCCTCAAATTATTCACATAACCTTAAAGGGGTAGTTGTGTTTACTGTTAGCGTGAATTATTATTGTGGTGGATAGTGGTAATAAGGTTTAGTGTGGGAAAAAATAGCATTCGTTCCATGGACCGAAATGGTTTAGCAGCTTTTGATCTTTTTTTGAACTGTCTAGATCTGGCAAAACCTCATTTTCGGGCCTAGGTACGAAATATACACGATTATAAACGAGTAATATAAATTACGCACCAAATTTACAAATACCATTCAAATGGTATTCATATGACCGAAATCTTTGGTCACTTACCTGTAATTCAATTCCAGGGCCATGGTCAGTGCTGCCACGCTGCTAGCTGGACTCTACCCTCCTCAAGGATTTCAGCGGTGGCACCCCAACATCACCTGGCTTCCTGTACCTGTCTACCCAAACCTGCTAGACAAGACTCTGATCAGTCTTGACGCCAGACAATGCCCTCGTTACTGGGTGGAACAGAACAGATCATTGGCAGACCTTGCCCAGAACTACAGTCACTATATCCCACTGTATCACATCGCTAGTGAGGGCAGTGGTACCAACATATCTACCTGCTCTGCTCTCTACCTGCTTTCGCAGAACTTAGCTTGCATGGTTGGTAACGTTTATGCTGTCTTTTTTACAGCTACATATATTACCTAGAAAGATAGATTCAAAGAGAGCAAAGTTCATTGAGCAGTTCGTAGTGGATGTATATTTATTAGTATATAACTTAGATTTGCGATAGTCCTTTAGGTTAATTCAGCTGTTTAAAATACACCAAACATATTATATCACAAAAAAGTAAATCTGGAACTTGTCTCACCTAAACTTCCATCGTATGAATAGCTAAAAGACAAACAAAAGCTTTAGTAGTAGGATACCACTTTGAAAAACTAAATTAGCCATGCACTTTCTCTTGGTAAAAAATCAATTTAAGGATATTAAATTTATTTGGGATGTCTACTTTAGTACCCAAACTTAATGCCACAGTATTTATCTTTCATCAATTCACATAACATATTTATCGCAATCCCACCAACCTTGAAAGTGAAAGAGTTTCATCATACCAACTATTATTAAGATACAAGAGGTCGCCCCGTGGTCTTAAACAAGACCATGTGCACAAATTCTCTATTTTCACCCCACGCTGTAAATAAAACAAATTTGAGTTGTTTGCATTCGCTTTTATTTTCTGTTTAATTTCGTTGGTATTTCGTCTCCAACATGGCAACCCATAAGGCCCATGGTATTTTTGTTATATTTTAAGTTCATTACTTGTGCTTATTTTTTTTTGCCTATTTTAAAAAGCATTCTGCACATCTACAGGCAAATATCATTTCAGCCAGTACGCGTAGATTTTCCCTGCGTCGCACACGAGCTGAAAAAAGGCTTTAAGACACATGCTTGCCTAGTAATACAGGATGTACCAAGAAGAGGTTTAAATGTTTGATTTTATATTCCTTGCCCATTTATGCACCGAACATTTTGAAACTTAACAATTTATAAAATGGGGTCTAAAATTATTCCATCAATATGTCAGTTCACTTGTATAAACTAAATGGTGGCATATTGAAAAATGATACGTTAAAAACATTGAAAGTTGTGTTTTTGGTATTGTAAAATATTATTATATGTATAAAAATGAAACATGGTCTAAAGAAACCCCTAAACGTAGAGTCAAAAATTATTCAAACTGTGATCCATCCTCAGCGACTCACTGGTAAAAGCGCTTAACAAACTAATCGTAAGCTCCCACAAAGATATTCTGTGATAGCCAGTAGTTTCTCATCATTTTTGAAGGTATAGGATTAAAATTTTTCCTTCAAGTAACAACATAAAAAAGTCATACACAGTTAAATCTGAGGATCGGGGTGGTAAATCTAAAAAAAAATTTCACGACCAAAAAAATTACCATGAAGGTTGTCATTTAGTAAATGCTTGACATGATTAGCGAAATGGCCATGAATCACCATGGAGCACAATATTGCTTTGATTCATTTTTAGAACCGTAAATTGAGGAAATACATTTTCATTTTAAACTTGTTCATACCTATTCCCAGTCATTGTAATGTCTGAAATATCATAAAATGGCACGTCATTACAGCTGACAGCCGTTTAAACAGTGGTTTTAATAGGAAAAAAATTGTAAACTTTTTAAAAAGTCCACCATTTTGTTTCTACGAGGGTTAGGGAGCTGAAACTTTCCCAGAATATTTTAAAACATATTTGATAAATTGTGTAAAGTTTAAGAATATATGGCACATACATGGGCAAGTAATGTAAAATCAAACGTTTAAACCTCTTCGTGGGACACTCTGTATATAGGATTACAAAGTTATTACCAATGTAAGAGAAATGTATTACTTGTTCCTATAGGTAGACAATGGACTGTCTTTGCCGAGCTGGGCTGAGGAAGTTTTCCAGTCACGTGTGTTGCCTGCAGTCAGCGGAATGGTGCGAGACACCACCTTTAGAAACACGAAAATGTTGAGAATCCTCAGTGGTGAGGATCTTTTGTGGTTTTACAATCCAATTTATAAATAATACTCGCCTTTGGCTCGCTGGGGGCTCCGCCCCCAGGCCCCCTAGCTGTTAGTCGTCATTAGTAGATTAGAGTTAAGTTGTAACAAAGCAAGAAGTGAAACCGTCAATATTAAGTTATATAAGTTAACTTTGAGTAAGATAACTTCTAGCTTAAGGAACACCTCATAAAAAAATCATTTTTTAAGTTGCGGTAAGTGAGTATGTTAGTCAAGTATTTTTACAATTGAGTTTTTGGTCAAAGGAAGTAATAATATGAGGAGAGAAGGGTTCGTTATAGTAAAAATCGACATTAAAGTAATAACGATTTCATGAATTTATTAGAGGAGATTGATAAGTTAATAAGTTGATAATAGTAAAGTATTATATGAAGTAAATAGATTATAGTAGATATTCAAGTATATAATTACGAAAATAGATTAAGTAAGGTTTGTTTCCCTGTCGGTTAGCCATAAACTTTATGGCATATCCAGTTCCGCCACGAGGAGGCCAGGAAACGTCGGAACCATATTTGCAATTATTTGAATATGTACAAGTTAGTAAACTTTTGTACAAGATAAGTAAATTTATATTGATGTTCATTGATAGGTTAATAAGTTGATAATAGTAAAGTATTATATGATGTGAATAGATTATATTAGATATTCATGTATATATGATGTAAATAGAAAATAGATTATAGTAGATATTCATGACGTATATATTTATGAAAATAGATTAAGTAATGTTTGTTTCCCTGTCAGTTAGCCACAAACTGTATGGCATATCCAGTTCCGCCACGAGGAGGCCAGGAAACGTTGGAACCATATTTACAATTACTTACAAATGTACAAATTAGAGAACTGTTGTATAAGATGAGTAGATTGATTAGTATGTCGATTGATAAGTGAATAAGTTGATAATAGTAAAGTATCATATGAATTAAATAGATTATAGTAGATATTCATGTATATATTTATGAAAATAGATCAAGTAATGTTTGTTTCCCTGTCGGTTAGCCATACAATTTATGGCATATCCAGTTCCGCCACGGGGAGGCCAGGAAACGTCGGAACCATATTTACAATTATTTACAAATGTACAAGTTAGTAAACTTTACTAACTACTTTATACAACAACGGGGACTTTTGATAAGGCAGGCCCCCTATCGTACTGCCGATGTTGTCAAGTCACAACGGGGAGTTTTGATTAAGCAGATCCCCTAGCCTACTGCTAATGTCAAATCAGGTTTAGAGAAGGAGATCGCCATACACGATGTTCTTTGCGTATGCGATTCCATCTCGGACACGTTCGGGGTGTACGAGAACAACAATATGGTCTGGATGTCTGACCCTACTGAGCAAGACGTATAGTTGCCCGTGCGTGAAGCAATCGGTCCGTAAATCAACACCGACTGAATCTATTGTCTGACCTTGGCTCTTGTGTCCGGTCATGCAATAGGCCAACATCAGTGGGAACTGACGTCGACGAACACGTAACGGCGAACCCTCGACAAACGCAAAAGTAAAGGTAATCCGGGGAATTCCGATAGGTTGCGTCTGTCCGGGAAGTCTCACTGTAATCAGGCGGTTGGTGATGCCGATTACGATGACTTTAGTGCCGTTGACGAGTCCTTCAGCGATGTTGAGGTTCCTCATAATGAGGCAAACAGAACCGATCTTCAGCCGCAGAACATGGTCTGGTACGCCCTTGCCAGTAGCCGTGTTCAGGAGTTGAACGTCGACATCCAGGCCATCGTCGTTCTCTCTGTCGACTGTGTCGGCGCTCCTCAGCTCGTACAGATGACCGTCGAGGGAGTTCAAGATGTGGTCGTTGATCTCCTTGACGTTCACTATCAGAGTCGAGAGGATTGCGCGTCGCGAACACATATCAGAGTCGAGTAGGACGTTTGCGGGAAAGACGGAATCGACCAAATCAGTCAAAGACGTCACTTGTCTAATCCCGAGCAGCGGAATTAGACTTTGTTCGTTCCGTCCCTCCAAGAAAGTGGTCGAACTGACAGTTCCGTTGCCTACCCTAAGAAGGAATTCGGAATAGGCTGTGGAACTACTAGTCCGATGAGCTGTTGTCAGGGCAAAAATTTTGAAATGCTGCCACAGATGGGAAGCCCGAAGTGAGACACAAACAATGTCAGTTGGAGTACGAGCGTTTACAACGACAGGCGCGATCTGGCGAAAGTCGCCACAACAGAGGAATATTTTACCACCGAATAGCTCACTGGAACGCATGAGGTCTCGCAGGGATCTGTCAAGAACCTCGAAAACGAACCGATGTGCCATCGGGGCCTCATCAAAGACAATGAGCCTTGCGGCCCTGATGAGCTCTGCTCGCTGGGAGCCGTTGGTGATGTTCCAAAAGCCGGTGCCGTCACCGAAGTCGAGTGGCAACCGGAACATGCTGTGAGCTGTAGTTCCACCAGGCATGTTACCCGCGGCGATCCCAGAGCTAGCGACTGCCAGTGCAACCTGACGACAACCTCTCACGTATGCGAGAATGACACGAATCAGAGTGGTCTTCCCATAGCCTCCCGGGCCGTCAAGAAAAATGATTTTCGACGACGTTCCGCTGGCAGGGGCATTGAGAACGGAGGTAACGTACTCAAATACGCGGTTTTGATCTTCAGAGAGCTTTGGCACCCACTCCTCCACAAACACTCTCTGTTGATTTTCACCATGTAAGAGCAGTTCTCTGCCCAACTCCGTCGTGTCATCGTGTACATCGGGGAGGCCATGATCTGCGACGCAAGAACCCTGCCGACGAAGACTCCGATCAATATCGATGAGACCTAGCTTGTAGGCCAGTTCAACATCGAGAGGATTACGCTCTATGTGGTCCTCGCAGATGGAATCACGGAAAGCATCCCACAGGAGAGCTGCAGGAGCCCCCATGTTGCAGAGGATCACAAAGAAAGAACGAAGTCTCGGGCCAGTCATGAAAGTGGCGGCCTCGCGCAGTGCGTAGTGGTACTCCTGTTCGTCTTGCACCAAGCCAAGATACCGCGCGACCCCTTGAAAAGTGCGGCAGTTTGGTCCACCGCGGGACAGGAGGTCGGCATAACCACGGCAAGATACAGTCATAAGCAGGATACGCAGGTAATACTGTTCTGTCCTGCTCGGTGAGACCCAAAACAGTCTGCACACCTTCTCGCCACGCTGTCGGGCAGTGATAAAATGGACGCCATCGGGGTGCTCGTATATCTCCGCAGTTTTTGGGCGCTTGACATGAACCACAAACGTTTCATAGAACCCCTGATAAGTCAGGTCGTCAAACAGTGAAATACGAGGCCGGTCAAAGTAGATGGTGAGTTTGGAGCTGTTCCTAGCGGCTGCCTCTGCCAGTTGGCCAGGTCTAAACAGGACGGACTGCTTGCCCTCCAGATGGACGGGAAGACATTCAACAGCCGGCTCAGATTCTGATACTGGAAAGTTTAATAAACGCCAGCACGCGTCACTGGCACCCACCATTCTCTTCGTCACGTAATGCTGTACCTCATCATCTTGCTTACTGAAGGGAGTAACTGTGACGTTCTGGAGAGATCCTCCCTTCATAAGATATTTGAAGAGGTACTTAATCACGCGGCGAGTAGACGCCAGCTCCAAATTGATGTGAGCCTCGTATTTCAACATCAGTGCGGGATTATAAGGCACAACCCAACCGTCATGTACGATAATGTTCTTATTGCGTGATACAATTGTCCCCCGATTGGTATAATCTCGCTTGTACTGGACGAATCCCCTCTCGTCGACGTGGGTGGTTTCACAGCAGGGCTTGGGGAAGTATTTGGTGCAGTAACCCTTTGCAGAGTCCCAACAGAGAAAGTCAGTCCTATGATCATTACCACATGGACCGTGGATCATGTGTTTGAGGACCAACTTTCTCAGTCGGCCTCCGGCCTCTTCTTCCGAGGGAATATCCGCGCGGATGATGGAGTCAATTTCGGACGCCTGAACTGGTCCGTCGCCGTCAATCTTGAATACAATGTGGGCGTGAGGAAGGCCCCTCATTTGCATCTCGATGACGTAGACGATATAGACAGAGCGTCCAAACATTGCTCCGCTGCGCAGGTCTCGGAGAAGTTCCAGAAGTTTGATCCTAAAAACTCTGCAAGCAGTGCTAGGGTCACTGCGAGTACCTCCACGAGGGCAAGCTTTCTTGTTTTCCTCCCAAGTCGCGTTGTAAGTAAACGTCAAAAAGAAAGTGGGGGAACCCAGGCGCGATACGATTGCCATAGCGTCTTCGTATTTTACTTTCATGTACCTGGGCCCCCCGGTGAACGAACTTGGGAGGTAGACTTTTCCTGCCTGCACCCCACCCTCGCCTTGGACGGTTTCATCACGAGCGATGTCGTTCAAGACCTGCTGTGCATTCCGAATCTCGTCAACCGGCCCCACCCGCAAGGCACTATCGGTGTTCTTCAGCTGCGTAAACTTAATGTAACGCAGTTTCTCCTCCTCGTACCTCGCGAACATCTCAACCTGCCAAGCTTGTGAGAGACGGCCTAGGTGAGAGAAGCGAGGTTCAGAAAGTAGGAGGCACCGCGAGTACTTAAATTGAGTCAGTTTGGCACCCTTGTTATCAAGGCGGCCAACGTGCCATCCCACAGTGCCTTGCGGGTAAAGTAGGGGATATTGGAAAGGTTCCATTAGGGGGTGTAAAAGATCAATAAATGTAGGTCTATCGGAACCGGATTTCCATATAGTCAGTCTCCGGGGCTCAGTGTCGTTTTCATCATTGCTGAGCACGGCGTGCACTTCGACGCCTGTTTGCCGATCACCGAGAACAGGGCCATGGGTAGACCTGCTTGTTACTTCAAAAGCCAAGTGAGCTGTTACGGAAGGCTCGTTGCTCAATCGACGGTAATGCTCAATGTAAGGATTTTCCCTAGACAGGAAATCAGCAATACCGTCGATGATCTCGGCATCAAGCGATCTACCCATCGCAATGTTACGGCGCTCTTCGCCA